ATGAATGTTATTTCATGTTGAAATTGAAGAATGAATCAAATAAATATTTAAATTATTGGTTGAGTGTATTCAAACTCCTTTATTTTTATTAAAAACAAATATTCATTATTAAAATAATTTGATAATATTGATATAATATTTCAATGTAAAATAATGAAAAGTCTTAAATATATTTTAAACAAACAAACAAACAAATAATAACAAGATGACAATTATTCATTTTGTCACTCTTCATTGATAATATTATCTTTTTATTTTTATTGATTCAACTGAAGATATAAATTAACATGATTATTTAATTAATTAAAACAATTAAAATGTTGTTGTTTTGTATATTTATAATTATATATGATATTATCTGTTTATATTCATTCAGTATTCCTCAATCAATATTTTATTGTATTATTCTTGTAATTATTCATTTTGAGATTTTATCAATTTATTTAATTAATGAACTGACGAATAAAATATCATTCTGTATTATCATTCATGAAATTTAATATTCATTTTATTTCTTTTATAATACTCATCTTATTAAGTTATTGATTTCAATTATTTGATGTGTGGATATTTCTCATTCATATTTATTTTGTTTATGAAAAGTGTTGAATGTTATTTCAACAAGAAGAGAAATGTTATAACAATAAAAATTGTAATTAAATACTTTAATTTGTAAATTAATAAAGAATAAAGTATTGTATCACTTGAATCAACACACCAAAACAAAATCTAAATAAATGATATAAATGAATTGTCTTGATTATTCATTTATTATTTGTATTAATCATTTGAACAAATAAAAATGAATATAAATAATATAATAATCAATAATCTAATAAATATATCATGACACATTCTACAAATAAGAGAATGAATAATATAATAACAAGAATAAAAATGAAATGCATAAAAATAAATGATAATTCATAGGCACGAAAATTAGCAAAGAAAAAATGTATCTAAATAATTTACAAAAAAAGAAAAAAGATGCAAAAAAATTTGCATCCATAGAATTTTCAATTTATTATATTTTGCTCCTAACAAATAAAAATAAATAAAAAATATGATAAATACAGAATATATAAATATTTATGTTTATATTTTATAATCATTTGTATTTTGTATGAAATATTAATGAAATAGATGATTTGATTATTCATATTTATTTTTATTATTTATATTCTTTTATTTATATGTTATTTTATATATTTATTTTATATATTTATTTCTCTGTTTATATTATTTATATCATTGTATTCTTCTTATTATCTATATATTATTATATTCTTCTTATTTTATTATTTTTATGTTTATATTATTTAGATTTTCTTATTGTTATTCTTTTATATTTAGATATATTTTATTATTTGTTTATTCATCTTTTATATTATTATCATTTATATCTATTTTCATTTTATATTTATTCTCTTTTGATTTATATTAATATTAAATTTATCTTTTATACTTTGATTTTATTATTATATCATTGATTATCATTTCTCCTTTTATTTATCATTTATTCTTATTATTCTTTTGTTTTTATATTCTATGTTATATATTCATATCATTTTCATTTATATTTTATCATTTATTATATGTTATAATAACATAACACATATGATTGAATATATAATAAACATCATGATGAAATTATACACACAAATAAAACATAAAAATAATAAAATATTTTTCAATAATAAAATATTGTTAATCATTTTACACAATTAAATTAGCACTTTTATTGAATTTTTCTCATTTTACAATAAAAAACATACAATTTAATTCCTATTTCTTTTCTTCTTTTATTACCTCTTTGTGATTTATTACTCTTTATCTTCTTTCTTCTTCATACTTTCTTTTTATTCTTTTATATATTAATAATATTTTTTATATTATTTGTTTAAAAAGATGCCATTTCTTTTTATTTATTCTTTATTCTCTTTCTTTAATTTTCTTACTTATTATTTATTTCACATGAATTTCTTCTAATATACTCTTTACTATGCTCATTTATATCTTATTTATTTCTATTTTAATATTTCCATTTGTTATTTCTTCATTATATATATTGATAAATTATGTTTTTCTTTCCTTTTATATTCTTTTGAATTTATTTTTCTGCTATATGAAATTCTATATGATTTGTACTTTGTTTATTCTTCCTCGTTTTGATGCATTTTCTATTCTCATTTCATTTATCTATTCATTTCACATAAAATTGTTGTTCTTTCTATTTTCCTTTATTTCTTAGCATTTCTTAGAATTGCTGATAATTTACATTCTGTTTTAATCATTATTTATATTGATCACTTTCCTTGTTATTCTAAAAAAATAATTCTTCACTTCATCCGTTTATTTTCTGTCTTTTATCAACTTTCTCCATTATATTAACATCATTTCATAACAAAAATAACAATTTTTTAAAAATTAAAAAAGAAAAGAATTAAAGGAATAATTAATTTATGTTATATACCTCATTTTTATAAAAAATAATAATTAGAAATAACAATTAATAATTTTTTTATTATAATAAAAAAAGACACGTCATTGATGTCAAATGTTTCAAAAAGATTCCGAAAAGAATAAAAAGGGAGTGAAAAGAAACTTTAAAGTGAAAATGCAAATCTTTGTTAAGACACTTACTGGAAAGACTATTACATTAGAAGTTGAACCAAATGATTCTATTGATGCTATTAAAGCTAAGATTCAAGAAAAAGAAGGAATTCCACCTGATCAACAAAGACTTATTTTTGCAGGCAAACAATTAGAAGAAGGAAAGACACTTTCAGATTATAACATTCAAAAAGAATCAACACTTCATTTAGTCTTAAGATTAAGAGGAGGATATTAAAAGGTGTGTTTAGTCTCAATAAAGATTCTTTACATCCTTTTGTAATTGATTTTCAACTTTATTTTTGAAGGTTTTTTAAGTCAGTCAATTGTTTTATAAAAGACAAGTATAAGTTGGAGGTTAAAGACAAAGTGAAAATGTTATTTTACATAACGAGGAGGATGATGTTTTACTTCGGTTCAACAGAATAACAGAATCAGTCGAAATAAAAATACAATCATAAATATTAATAAAAAATAGTAAAAAAACTATAAAATATAGTATTTTACATAAAAGGAACTTCAAATAAAAAACCATAAAAAAGAAAAAAGAAAAAAAGATCTGATAAGACAAAATAGGAAAGAATGACAACACCAACTAAACTTCAAGTTTCTCAAATGCAAAAGATAAACTGGGTTGCAGAATGTTCAAAAGATTTTGAAGTAGTAGAAAAATTAGGAGAAGGTTCATATGGATCAGTATTTCATGCTATTCATAGACCAACTGGAACACATGCTGCAGTTAAAACAGTTAGAATTGATGGAGATACTACTGATGTAGAAAAAGAGATTGTTTTAATGAAACAATGCGATACTGATTATATTGTTAGATTTTTTGGTCATTTCTTTGTAGATAAAGATTTATGGATTGTAATGGAAATTTGTGGAGCAGGAAGTGTGTGTGATATTATGAATATATTAAATTCAACATTAGATGAAAGAGAAATTCAAATTATATTAAAAGATACATTACATGGTCTTGCATATCTTCATAAAATGCATATGATTCATCGAGATATTAAAGCAGCAAATATTTTAGTTAGTGATGATGGAGTATGTAAATTAGCTGATTTTGGAGTGTCAACAAAGATGGGTGGAACAAATAAATTACAAAAAACATTAATTGGTACACCTTATTGGATGGCACCAGAAGTTATTTTAGAAAGTGGACATAATGAAAAAGCTGATATTTGGTCAGTTGGTATAACTGCAATTGAAATGTTTGATGGAAGACCACCACATTCAGAACTTCATGCTATGAGAGCAATTTTCTTAATTCCTAATAGACCACCACCTACTTTAAGTACACCTGAAGAAGTATCTAAAGCATTTAATGATTTTATTGCTTTGTGTTGTGTAAAAAATTTTAGAGAACGACCATCTGCTTTAGAATTATTAAAATGTGATTTTATGAAACCTAATGGAAACCGTAAAAGAATTACTGATTTAATCGAAAAAGAAAATGAAGTAATTGCTGAATTTGGTTCTAGAAAGAAAGCTCTTGAACAAGGAGAAGATGATGATGAGGGAGATGATGAACAAGATGATGATGATGATACTGAAGAAGATGATACTGAAGAAGAGGAAGAAGATGATACTGAAGAAGATGACAGTGATGATGGAGATGATACAATGGTTATTAGAAAATAATAATTGAAAGAGCCAAAGTCATACTTTTTATATTTTATTTAAAGGTTATTTTATTAAGAAAATTCCTCTTTTTTGAAAGTTCAAAATTATTTGAAGGAATTGGTTTAAAAGAACTTCAATTCATTCAAATAAGAAAGATTTGTTTAAAGAATGGAAGTAGATTATTTTATTGCTATTACTTCAGATAAAGAAATAAAAAAACAACTCACTGAATTAAAACAACAAATACAAACGATTTGTTTAAAAGTTGAAAATGAATATCAAAAACCATCTTTTGATTGGAAAGTATTTGAAAAAGAATTAAAAGGAGATAAAAAAGAACAAATTAATCAATTAGAAGAATTTATTGCTGATATTCTTCTTCTTAAAAATAAAAAGGAAATTGAATTAAAAAACCTTATTTCATTTGCTAATAAAAATAGTCAATTTTATATTTCTAAAGAAAAACAAATTAATAAAGAATATTTGGAATTAAAAATTGTATTACAAAGACTCCTTTTAAAAACTAAAGTTTTAATTAAAGAAATATGTATTGATTTGCAAAATCAAATAGAAAATACTTTTAAAAATGATATTAACCAAATTAATATTGAAAAAGAATTTAAATTAAACCAACTTATTAATTATAAACAAAACCAAATCCAAATACTTCAATTAGAAGAAAAAAATGAAATTCAAAGAATTAAACAACTATTTAATCATAAAATTCATCAAATTGAATCAGAAATTAATTTAAAAAAACAAAAAATTGAATTAGAAACTCAAGTACAATATGAAAATATTGAAGATAATAAAAGAAAATTATTAACTGAAATTTCTCTTAGAACTCAAAAATTAAATGAATTAACTAAAATTGAAAATGAAAATGATGTAATTTATTCACATGTAAAAATGAAAGATGAAAGTTTTTTAGAATTTCAAATTCAATCAAATGAATATATGAAATTTATTCAATTTGGTGGAAAAAAACAAATTATTGAAAATGAAACTCAATTAACAAATTGGATTGGATTGAATAATTCAAGACTATTATTTGATAGTCAAACAGATGGATGGGAAAGAGTTTTATTTAATCAACTAATCCTTGGAAAAGAGCATCTAGTTTTTCTTCATTACACTGATAAAGGAGATATTTTTGGATGTTATATAAAACAAAAGATAATAAAAGGTAATGATATTTATGATGAAGACCATTTCATTTTTTCATTAGAAAATCATAACAGAATTATTTCATTAATGAAATGGTATAAAATTAAAAAAATGACATTTTTAAAGAATTGGAAAGTTGCCTTTAAAATTCGTGATGATGAATATTTTTATTCAATTGGAGATGATGATATTCTAATTCAATCTTCATTTGATGGAATGAGCAGATACTCTTTTAATCCTATTTGTAATTATTATAAAGGAATAACAAATGATATATTAACTGGAGATAGAGAACCATTTAAAGTTTCTCAATTATTAGTAATTCAATTTTATTAATTCATTTTATTTTGTTTGTTTTATTAAAAAGAAAAAAATAAAAATATTCTCCCCGTTCGACACAGAACGACATTTTATTTTAATTAATTAAGCTTTAGTTGTTCTTTTTAAAGCGATTTTCAAATGTCTCATTCTTCCAGTTCCTTGGGTTCTTCTTCTAAGAGCTTTGTATCCCCATGCATATTGTCTCATTTTAGCATCTGGATATCCACATGAAGCACATCTTTGTTTTTGTAAATGCCATGATCTTTTTCCGCATCTCTTGCAAAGAATATGAGTTTTATTATGTCTAGTACCTCTGCAACTGGTTCCTTTAGTCATTCAGTCGAATCAACAATTCAAGTTCAAGGGTTTTTTTAAGATTTTTTTTTGATTTTTTTCTCAGAAAATAATTAATTATAATAAATTATATCATTTATTATAGTTATTTGTATTTTATACTGAGACAAAGAATAAATCTAAAATGAAGAGTATGGCTAAAGATGAACGTACAACCAAGACAAAAGTTAAAAAGACATATTCGGAAATGAAAGAAATTAACGAGATTCAATCTCATTATAATAATACAAGAGGACTACTTATTAGTCATAACCTTAAAAGAGAACGTGGAAGTAAAAAAGAAGTTAATGATTTGTTAGATAGATTTTTAGTTGAAGATGAAATGAAAAGTTTTGAAGATAATACAATTAAACATGATGAAAAAGATGACATTGATCAGCAATTAGCAAAAGAGTTAGAGGCATTAAAGAAAAAAAATTTTATTTATGATACTGGTGTTGAATGTATGTTGTATTGTGAAGTACCTTATGATGCAATTCAAGTTGTTTCACAATTATTTGATGGAGCAAAGAAAGAAGGGATAGTAATGAAAGAAACACAAAAAATAGTACCTTTACAGAAAGTTGTTATGGCATCTTCTATGGAAAAACTTCTTAAATCAGTAAAAGATTTATTAAATGAGATACATACAGAGAAGTATAATACATTTGCTATTTCATATAATGGTCGTCATAACTCAAATTATAGTAGAGACATAGTTATTAAAAATGTAGCTGATTTGATGCCAAAAGAATGGAAAGTTAATTTAAAAGATCCTGATGTTACTGTTATGATAGAAATATTTTATAGAGGACTTGGAGTATCATTTGTAGAAGGAGAAGTTCTGAAGAAATATAATCATTTCAATATTCAGCGATATATACAATCTGAATAACATTTTTAGAGAAATAATTGTTATTTTGATTTGAAAAGTTCAGGTTTTTATTAGAGTTAGAGAAATATAATAAAAAAATAGAAAAGAAATAGAAAAGA